CTTTAAAAAGATAATTATAATATAAATTAAATAAACATTCTTATTTAATTGGTATTTAGTTAAAGATAAGTATTATATAAAATTTTATTAATAAATTATTATATATTTATTTTATTTAATAAAAAATTGCTCTTAAATCGAACTAAGTATGAGAAAAAGAAAAAGATGCCAACCAGGCTTGTGATCCGGTTGACCTCCAAGTTTTAGGGTTTGGGTGAGGCAGAGGTTAGAGTTTCGAGTTCTGTCATCGCTGTGAACTCCACCAATTTCACGCCTCTTCTGAAGGAGTGGATTGTTCACCATTTTGAAAAGTTCCAGTTGTTAACAATTAACTCTACTAACTTCCTAATCATTATCTTTGTAAAAAAAAATATATATGAGAAAAAGACAAAATATTACATTCTTCCTTTCTTTTTTAACAGTTTTAATTTAATTTTTTAATTTTTAAAATATAAATTATATATAAAATTTTAATATATTATATAAATAAAAATTAAAATTTTTATTATCAAACAAAAAAATTAACAAAATTTTCATATAAAATTTTTTAATTATTACTCATATAAATAAATTATTAAATTTATATTTAAAAATTTTAATTAATCTATTAAAAATAAATAAAAAAGCAAAAGATGCACAATGATTCTTACACTATAACATGTCGTTTTCTATAATTTTTTTAATTTAGAGTTATTTATAATATTATATTACATTAGTCCATCTAGTCTGATACGATGAAGGATTATACTGTGTCCTTATCTAAAAAATCGCAAAAAGTAAAGATTATTCTATTTTTTTGTATACGAACAGCGAGGACGGTGAAGCCCGTAAGATTTGACAACTCCTCCCACATCTTTCCCACGAGGAAGAAAACAAAGAGGTGGAATTGTCAAAAAATCATTCAGCTTTCCAATTCCATCTCATTCCTCCTCCGACCACCAAAATTCTCTCAATTTTTTAATCGCGACAAAAATCCGTTGACATAAAAAAAAAAAAAAAAAGGGAATTAACACCCAGCGTCAATTCCAGGTCATCTGTAGCGATCCCAATTGATTTTGAATATTTTGTTAGGTACCATATTTTCACATGTCGGAAATTTTTGTTGTTATTAAACCTAATATATGTTTAGCAATATTAGGTAATTTTTTTTATATATTAAAAGAATTAATTACTTAGCACCAAACATTTAAACTTTTAATTTTATGTTCAATTAATTTTTTTAATTTAATAAAGATTAATTTAACTAAATTCTTCTTAATAATATATTTTTAATTAAATTTTTAATTTAATAAACCCTTAATAATATTACTAAATAACTTTGTCATATCTCATAATACACTTTTTTTTTTTTTTTTGGTAAATATCTCATAATACGCATTCCCCACACGTCATTTGCGTCTCGAATTTAGGCGCTCGAATTTGGCAATACATGTCTAAGAATATTAGATACGTCAGAGATGAGTTTGGATATTGGTTGCTTTTTTTCTTATGTGTGGGGGAAGATTTTGTTGACACAAACCATTATACTTAGAACGTGCCAAATTTCTGAGTCAATAGCAGGCGCACCGAGTACCGCATTTATAAATCCCCGCAACTTCTGCTCTGCCCTCCACAATTTTCGCCATGAAATTTCTTCAGCAGCTTGTGCTCTTAGCATCCATTTTCTTTTTCTCTTTTGGCTTTCAATTTTTATGTTATGGGATTTGCTTCAGTTCTCCTGCTCTGGCGACGAGTCCTGATGGTGTCTCGATTAAGGATCAGATTGTTGGGTTGGCCAATGATCCGGAGACGGTGGAGTGGATGAAGAAGGTAAGGCGGAAATTGCATGAGAACCCAGAACTGGCATTTGAGGAATTCGAAACGAGTAAGCTCATCCGGGATGAACTTGACCGCCTTGGTATTAGTTACCGGTGGCCGGTGGCTCGAACCGGCGTTGTTGCCACAATTGGGTCCGGTTCTCCTCCCTTTGTCGCCTTGAGAGCAGACATGGATGCTTTGCCAATCCAGGTCAGAATTCCACCATCCTCTGTTTTCCCTTTTCAAATATTACCAGCTCTTCTTGATGATTACCCAATTGCATTTGGGGCCGGAAAGGGACAAAATTTTGGGAAGAAATTTAGGGAAGATGCAGGAATGGATGAATTAGCTTGTTTTAAGAGTTAATCGCTGCAAGATATGATAAATTAGTTGTTTTTAATCTAAACCATGATGTGAACATGCAGGAATTGGTGGAATGGGGGAACAAGAGCAAAGTAGATGGGAAGATGCATGCCTGTGGACATGATGGGCATGTTACCATGCTCCTTGGAGCCGCAAAAGTACTGCAAAAGATACGGTTCACTTTGCAGGGGACTGTTATCTTGATATTCCAACCAGCTGAGGAACAAGGTGAAGGGGCGAAGCAAATGATACAAGCAGGGGTGCTCGAGAATATAGAGGCAATTTTTGGGGTGCATTTGGTCCATAGGTATCCACTGGGTGTTGTTGCAGGGCGTCCTGGTGAATTTCTAGCAGGATGTGGGAGCTTTAAGGCAACAATCAGCGGCAAAGGGGGTCATGCTGCAAACCCACAAAATTCCATTGATCCAATTTTGGCTGCATCTGCAGCTGTTATTAGTCTTCAAAGTATTGTTTCACGTGAATCAGACCCTTTAGATTCTCAGGTAATTTAACAAAGCAGCCAACTTGTTTTGTGAGCTGAATCGATTTGTTTGATCATGTAATTTGGAGCCCTTGGAATATGGATCATAATTTTGATTATTTCGTATTGTTTGATGCTTTCAGGTGGTTTCTGTATCTATGATCCATGGTGGAACGGCATTCAATGTCATCCCGGACTCAGCTACAATTGCTGGAACTTTTAGGGCTTTCAGCAAGGAAAGTTTCAACGCACTCAGGGAAAGGATAAAAGAGGTAAGAAATGACTGATGCCAGGATGGGTTATGAATTTGTGATGGCTAGGGAATCTTTACATAGTAATATTCATCAATCCCACTTTTTATGCCCAGGTTATCAAGGCTCAAGCAGCTGTACATCGATGCACTGCTGAGATTAGCTTCGAAGGGAATGAACACCCCTCGATCCCTCCAACTTTCAATGATGAGAAAATTTATGAACGTGTTCAACAAGTTGCAAAGGAGGTAGTAGGAGAAGAAAACGTGGAACTCGCTCCTCGCTTCATGGGAAGTGAGGATTTTGCTTTCTTCTTGAACAAGGTACCCGGATCCTTTCTATTTTTAGGCATTAGGAATGAAAGAACTGGAGCTACACATTGTCCACACAGTCCTTACTTTACCATCGATGAGGATGTGCTTCCCATTGGGGCAGCAATACATGCTGCATTTGCACATTCGTACCTTTCAGATTCTACCACAGATTCGCATTCTTTCTAACCGATCATGTCTTTACTAGCTATATATATCTTAGTTTCATACAAGTTCTTGGTTTAAGTAAAAACTTTTGGTAGGGGAAATTCTTTTGTGACATGTACAGATTACATTAGAACATGTACTTGAAATAGCAACTTCAATCATCAATAATAGAGCAGCTTATTATATATGCAGATCCTTGTTCTGTTTTTGTTTTTCTGGATTTTTAAGAAAAGTATGACTGTCATCAGACAGTTTCCTCTTATTCATGAGAAATAATCACAATGCAATATCACCAAGATAGAAGAAGCTAGCATACATAGGGAGTCAACCCAAATAAGGGAGAACTGAATCCGATGAGAAGTACAGAAACCAAGTGACAATAATAAAAAAAAACCCAAATTAACATAGGAAAATCTGAAGGAACCATGGCAGTCCTAACCGGTAAACATAGAATTAGACTCTATCTCCTGTAAGAATGATGGAAACAACAAAAGCCAAAAACCCAATTGCCATGGATGGGAAGGTCATGCTCCCATTGCTCTTACCTGGGGTTGGCACGGGAATCGGGGATGGAGCGGGTGCGTTTGCAGCTGCGGCAGCCATGATAAAAAAGGCAAGGCAGGCAGCAAAAATGGTTGCTCTGATGCCAGAAGCCATTTTTTCAATGCCTTGGAGGGTTCTGTAGATTCCATTAGGGCATGTGTATATATAGTACAGGAGAGAGTACAGAGGGGTCTAAACTCTTAATTAAGGGCAAGGATTCAATGACTTTGGGACAGTTGAGTAGTCATTGTACTAAAGTTGTAACCGTTGAAACCTATGATTGATTTTTATCTACCCTGAGATTCCCCTGTAAATAAGCGTTAATTTATAAGTTAATTATAAAATTTAATTTTTTATGTTAACATTTAAAAAATTAATTTCTTTAAAATATAAATTTGATGTTAAATGTGCTTCTAAAATCATAATAGGAAGTGATTAGTATTGATATTCAGAAAAATTGTTCAAGAACACCTAATTGTCTTAACAAATAATAATAATAATAAATGATTGGTCTTTGTTTCCAAGTTGTCCTGAACTTTGAAGGTTTCAATTGTACTGCAAATAGTACTACATAATTGATGCAATAATGCTCGGAACACGCCTGCCTAGACATAATTAATCTAGAGTTGACGTAGTCGACTAAATATATATATTTGCTGATGACTTGTTGCACGCCTGCTCTATCCAAACTAGTCTAATGTCAATTTTATTCTGCCATCTACCACGTGGTTTGGTAAAGAGTTGGACATGTATTGATTCCGAAGAAGGTACTGAAAAAATAATTTTAATTTTTTTTTTCTAAACTTGGATTAGTTGATGTTTTTATTAAATCAAATAGATAAATTTAATTCATTACTTGCATTAAATAAAAACTGAAAATCTTTGTACTTAGAATTGTTAAATGAAGTTTTTGTTGGTATTAATTAATTTAAATTACTTAGTTGCGAAATAAAAAAAAATTGTTTTACAATATCTATTTATTTATTTATAAAATTTAAATCAAATTCTTTCTACTCGAATAAATAAATTTAAATATAAAAATTATTTTTTACATTAATTAAATACTCCAACTTGTCTTCGTCGTCTCAACAAAAATCTTTGGTTTTTTCCTATTCAAAATTTTTTAAAGTCAACTGCTATAAGATTAGGTATGGGGTACGATTGCTCTTAATCTCCATAGCCAAATCCAAGTGGGAAAATTTTGTCAAATATCATATCTTTGAATTCTTAAAAGTAATTTTTTTTAAGTAGATTTTTTTATACATTAAATAATAAACTATGCAACATAAGATAGCTATTTCATTTCTTTATTTTTTAATTTATTTTAAAATTTAGACTAAAAATTTACAAATTAACATTTTAAGTTGTTAATCATTCAAGCACTTCATTGAAATATTATTTATTTATTTATTTATTTATTGAAGTAGATGTTTTCAATCTGAGCATGACATTTAGACTGTGTTTTGGATTCCTTTTTCACACTACACATTATTAAAACGTTAACTTGATACAAGTAAATTAATTTTAATTCATATGTTCTATATATTTTAGTAATTAAATATATATAATACTTTTCAAATAATTATCAAACACTAACATAGTTTTTGCTATGAATCAAATTTCCTTTAGAAAAAGTCATAGCTATGGTATTACATGGCAATTCCAAAGTCCAAACTATCTTATAGAATGTTTGATTTGAGGGCAATAAAGCAGAGATGAAATTAGAAGGGGCAAACGTTTTATTTTTTTTTTTTATTTTTTTATCACATGTAAATATTATATAATTATAAAATAGGTAACATAAGAGATACTCAATATGAGGTATAATACTATCAAATTAAATTACTTCGTTTGCTTAGATTATAAGAGTTAATAGAGGAAATTTTATAATTTGAGTATGATAGCCAACTTAAAAATCATATATGATAGACATCTTCAAAAAATAAGAAATTAGAATTGTCTTTTTTTTTTTCCATTAGAAATTAAAATTGTATAATTACTTTAAAAATTAAGAGTGTACAATACAAAATTAGATGAAGATAAAAAGAGACTAAATAGAGAAAATTTTAGTTAGCAACGAAGTATGACCATCTATTATGAAGAGAAGAATGAATGAATGAAGGATGAGCAATTTTGGGTATAGTAATTCTAGGGTTAGGGATTGTAAAACCGTTTTTATGAATTTCTTTGAAAAAATTGTTATTGTATATGATTTTTTTAATGCTAATCACAACAGAAAAACCAAAGCAATTCATAAGTTTATTCTCTTTTATTTCAAATAAATCTTTAGGTTAAACTTAGACTCTTGAATTATACACCAAAATCTTCAAGCCTAATATTTACTTATTTACTAAATTTATTTATGTATAGTAATTTTTTAATTAAAATACTTAAAATGTTTTAATTTTTTTTAAATGCTAGGGGGGCCATGGCCCTTTAGCTCTTATCATGCTCTGTCCTTGGAGAGGAGGGAATGGGAGGAGATAGAGTTTTTATCAATTAAATTATAATTTAATTAATAAAAAATTCCTCTCCTCTCCTCTCCTCTCCTCTCTTTCATTCTCTTTAAACAAAACGTACCATCAAGCAAGTTACGAAATGTAAATGAAGAGAGTTAATTCCCAATATATAACCTTTTTTTTTTTTTTTTGGGTTTTTTTTTGTTTTTAAGAAAGTCGAGAGAAAAAAAAAAGGGCTTAAGCCGGAAAGTTTGGATCTTTAGAATTATTGGTCTTGATTCAGATGCCTAACAATCACTATTGGGCCAAAACTGGAATCCAGCTTGACGTGCCGACGAGCGCGTGCACTCCATATCAAGAACTCGATCCGACGCCTAAAACGCCGTAAACTCGATGCTATTGTACCTTCCGGTAACTGATAACCGCTCCTGAGTACTTACTGCGTCTGTCACTAAGGGCACAGTGGCTTGTTTTTCCTCCGCCTCCGTCGTCTTCAGCAATCAGCACTGTATTTTGCTTCTTGTGCATGTCTATTTACTTCCAGCCATGGCGTCCATTTCTAATCTTTCTCTCTACTCTCATCCAAAGGTAACTCTCGGAAAACAAGGTGGAAATGGCTCCTTTCTCTTTCATACTTAAAAACCTCACTCCTCTGTATTTTCTGATTTTGATTCGGAAACAGCCTCAAAGCAGAGACTGCTGTTCGTGCCGATGGCGTCGGGACATCGCGGACGTAGTGATCCGCTCCGACTTAAGACGCTGTCGTTTGGTAGCGGAAGGAGATGTTCTGAGAGGCAGAATTCGGTTGTGACAGCCGCTTACGGCGCAGAGCGAGGCACGAGGCGGGGAATCTACTGACAGTCTCAGGCCGAGCTGCCTTCCGCTGATGCTCCTGTGAAGCAGATTGCCTCGTTTGCCGTTCCGGCTGGTGTTTTCCTCCTCGCCGTGCCGTGAGTTTTGGTATGGATTTCGTTTGCTACTACTCACTTCTGGAATTCACATTTTGAATTAGATTGATTCCTGCATTTGTTTGTTTGCACAAAACAGTAATTATTATTCGCACATTTAACTTTTGTATTATTCTGTGATGTGAGTCGTACATCTTCTGCTTTTGCCTTTTGTTAGTACAATGAATTTTCCGTTTCCATTCAATTCTTTTTTTCTTTTTTTTTTTTTTTTTGAAAGTGTAACTTTTATACTTCACAGGGCAGTCACATTCATATTTAAAGTTTATCAGACTTTTATGCTTTTGATTGTTTATCTCACAATTAAGTCAAGTGAGCATACGACTCAATTTTATTGTGCTTACATGAGATAGGGCTTTTCTGGAAAAACTTTTAGTGATAAGATAATACTGCTATGGAAGATGACGATACATACCAAACAGAGAGTTAATCATGTGATGCAATGAGCCCAAAATAAGATGAATTTGATTGTTGCTAAGCAAATTAGTATAGTTTGTTTTCCTCCAATGACTTTATAGAGTTATTTGTACCGTATGTATCTATTGAGCTTGCCATCGCAAGCATGCTAGCCAGTAAGGTGTTCCCTATTTACATTTATATCATCAATTGTCCAAAATTTACCTTTTAAAAGCATGCCAGCATGTGGGGGCTATTAAATTTACCTGTGATTTTTTTTTCATGATTTGGATATTGAGGGCATCTTTTTTGTTTCCTATACCTTTTATTTATTTAAGTAATTATTATTTTTTTACCACAATTTAAATGAATGCAAGACAAATTACTTGTCATGCTTGCTCACCGCTGGGTGTACTAATTTATGTTTTCAGCTGAGAGTGATGTGGAAACTGGTGAAGAAACTCCCTGCACCAAAGACTTCAAGGCAATCATCTGTAGGAAATAAATCTCCATCACAAGGAATGAAGTGGTCCTTTGCTCCAGGTTCAAATCTGTTTTCAGGTCTAGCAGCAAAGATTGATAGTCAGTCCAAGCAGACACTTAATGTATTTGCCAAGGAACTTAGGTCATTCAGAAGTGTTGACATGTCAGGTATTGTGGTTGGATATATATAAGTGACAAAACATAAATTTTATCATTGTTGAATTTTTCAGCAATCATTTGTTTTTAAGATCTCTCTTTGCCGATCCCCAAAAAAAAAAAGAAAAAATTATAAGATCGTTTCCAGGAAACAATTTTGGAGACGAGGGACTATTCTTTCTTGCTGAGAGCTTAGGGTACAACCAGGTTATAGTTCTTTGACCATCTATTTCCATGTTATGACTTATGAATTTAATTTGTGATTATGTTTATCACTAATAAACCTTTTCTCGTTTTATTGAGTTTCCAAAACTATCCCTTTCATTTCATACATTTTTTTCTTGTTTCAGTGGTACTCTTCAGAAACTAGAATCATGCTTTGTCTTCCTTTTGTATCTGCCAATGCATTTATTTCTCTTTTCAGGTTATTGAGGAAGTTAATTTTGCCACAGACGAAATAACTTCAACAGGAATTAAAGCCTTTGATGGTGTTCTTCAATCAAATATTGTACTGAAGACTCTTGATCTTTCAGGAAATCCTATCGGAGATGAAGGAGTTAAGGTCAGACCATGTCTTAAATTTAATAACTAACATGTTAAGCAAACACTAATTTTGATTAACCTGCAAAATTGAGGGCTCAGTTTTACTATGTGTAGATGTTAGGTAAGGACCATAGAGAAAATTCTTGATCAATGTCTGTGCGTATTAACACCAACATCAGATATATATTGTCTCAGTTCTTGTGCATGGAGCCTCCTTATTCCTTTAATCCTTTTCATATTTCTTTTCATACTGCTTGTTTCATTAAGAAGGTTGCAGTTACTCTTCTTATGAAAGTGCTTCCTAGATTTTGAGCATCATTGGATACAAGAAACCTTTATTGTTGCATTTACTACATTTACAGTTATCATTGGTAATATTTATACGCTCACTTCTATGTTTTCTGTAACTTATCCGTGTTCACAGTTCCTATGTGGGATTTTGGTGAACAATGCTAGTATCCAAAAGCTCCAGCTGAACAGCATTAACATTGGGGATCATATGAGCATTTTTGCCGTCCTTCTTGCTACAGTCCCAAAGATTTGTAGAGGTGAAGGCATTTGTGGCTAAGATATCTGTTAAGAACAACTTACTCATTTGTGCAAGGTGCGAAGGTCATTGCAGAGTTTTTGAAGAAAAATTTGACCTTGCACCTTCTTGAGCTAAATAACAACATGATTGAATATTCTGTAGGCCATTAAACTTTGTGTCTTAAGATTATGTATTCAAATTTTATTAGACAAAGTTGCAAAGTTGACACATCTCCTTTCGTTTAAAAAATTAATTCAGGGATTTACAAATCTGGCTAGGTCACTTGAGAATAACACCATATGGAACTTACACCTCAAGTGAGTTAATGTTCTTGCATTTTCTGCTGTTCTCTGTGCTTCTTTCTTTAGGTTCATAAGATAAAAATCTAAAGTTCATATGTGCAATTTATCATGACTTAAATTTTTTAAGCATTATAAGCACATATCGATCAACTTGGTTGTTTTTCTTCCTTGAACAGCTTTTGATGAAAACTTTTCTAGTGTACTTTCCTTGTCCCTTAAAATCTTAATGACATTCTGTAATTGTAATAGCAGCAATTATGGTGGTGCTCTGGTGCCTAATGCATTGGCTAAAGGGCTTGAGTGGAACAAGTCATTATGCGTATTTTCTATCTACTATTTTTTTTCTTTATCCGTGCTGGTTTAGTATTAAGTCCTGACACAAGAAGGGTTTGCCAATTGTAATTCCTAACAATTAGTTTCAAGTTTTCCATGAAATAATTACTTCAGTTAATAGATGATAATGATGGTGAACATGAAAAATGCAAGTGTTTGGAATATCTTTCCTTTCTACAGTTGCAATGTCTGTTGAAAATTAAACTATTGTTTTTCTAATTTATACTGGGGGATGGCATTATTTATCTTTTATCCCTTTTAGAAAACCTGTCACATGGACTGGACATATATGTAAGATTGCAAGTTGCAATTAGAGGATACAGTGTCTATGCTCTATGACATTCATATCTAAAATATGTGTTCAGGACCTTCATTTGCATGGAGATTCCATTGGAGATGAAGGAGTCTGCTCTTTGATGTCAGGCTTGTCTTCACATAAAGGTCTACCACAGTGTTACATTGATCTCACTTTATAATAAGCCATTTCTGTATGTATCTATCTAGTTGCACCTTGCAGCTTGTTCAGTTTATCTAACAAGCGCATGTTCTTTATAGGGAAAATTGCTTTTCTTGACAGTGGCAACAACTCAATTAGTGCAAAAGGTGCCTTCTATGTTGCTGAATATATTAAGAAGAGCAAGAACTTGCTGTGGTTGAATCTTTACATGAATGACCTTGGTGGTGAGGTATAAATAAGCAGCCACTGTTATTATATAATCTTTTTTTGGGTACATTACTCATAATCTTTCTAGATACACATATAGTAAAGTTAATTAAGTACCTTTGTGATAAATCTGTAGAAGCGAAATAAATCACAACATAATTTCTGGCATATTGTGCATGGTCACAGGGACAGATGAAAGCTAATAATCTTCTCTCTCTCTTAATTTGGCTGTCATTGTTATTTATCCAAAGCCTTGGCCTTAACTCCTTCACTGATTTATATTTGTGAAATTTATCAGGGTGCTGAAAGAATTGCAGATGCTTTAAAAGCAAACCATATCATAACGACCATAGACCTTGTGAGGAGATTTCTTGTTTTGCAATCAATTCTACTACTTATAAGCTTTAGTTAGTATTTCTGACAGTGCTGGGTGATTTATATGCTACAGGGTGGAAATAATATACGTGCTAAGGGGGTTCCTGAAATAGCTCAAGCTTTAAAAGATAATACCGTCATTTCAACTGTAGGACATTTAGTTATTGTGGTCATCTCCTTTTCCTTTCCCATCTATCTTCAGTGTGATATAAGAACCTCATGCTCTTTCTCGTTGGAACTTGGTTATAATCCCATTGGATCAGATGGAGCAAAAACTTTGTCTGAAGTTCTCAAGTTTCACAGAAATGTAAAAGCCCTGAAGCTTGGTTGGTGTCAAGTAAATCCACATACATAACCTCTTTAAAAATTCTAATCTTCAGATATCTTTTGATAATGTGGCATGGTATCTCTTGCAGGTAGGGCCCAAGGGAGCAGAGTTCATTGCAAATCTGTGGAGATATAATAATAGTATTCAATTCTAGACTTGAGGGCAAATGGGCTTAGAGATGAAGTACGTTCATATAGATAATGTCTTTATTTATTTATTTATTTATCATTATGGTCATTAAACTTTTCTCTTTTTCTTTCTCCTTCTATACATATTATGTGCAGGGTGCAGCTTGTTTGGCTGGTAGCTTGAAAGTGATTAATGAGTCTTTAACATCACTCGAACTTGCATTCAATAAAATTAGGGTATAAGATTATCATTTTGAGTATCTTCTCCACCAAAGGCTATTGTGTTGCGTGTGTACAGGGATTTTTTTTTAATAATCTCCTCTTTATTTTTATACAGGATAATGGTGCTTTTGCTATTGCCCAATCACTGAAGGCTAGTGAGGATGTCACTGTCAATTCCCTTCACCTTGCCAGTAACTTTCTTACAAAATTTGGTCAGGTATTAAACCTTTCATTTCATTGTTTGCCATTTTTTTTGCTTGTTCTATTGTGCATTTATGCAATAGTCAAATTTTCAAGCCTCATCTCAAGCGTTCCATATTCTTTCTAATTAGTTTGTATCTTTCTTAAACTATTATACTGTGCAGAGTGCACTGACAGACGCAAGAGACCATGTATATGAGATGACTGAAAGGGAAGTAATTATCTTCTTCTAGGCAACTTGTTTAACAGTTGAGTAAAGTTTTTTTCAGCAATAAATTTGCAGAGGGAAATTTTTTTTGGTTCATTCTTCCTCCAGCATCTAATAGTAAGAACTCCAACTCAAACTTTTGAGCTCTAATCAAAGTGCTATGGGAACATATAGGAATTTTGCCATTCAGTAATCGTAGCTAACTTCACTAATAAGATATCCTGCTTAAAGAATTTATTGTTCCAAAAGTTTCTTTAGAAGCGCTCTCAGTTCAATTGATCAAATAGGTGTTACAGTTGATAAAGAAAAATTTTGTAAACTATGGTTATAAAAATTATTTGATACCTAAATGGCATTTTTCTATGTTGAAGGATGAGTCCACTTGTTTGTCAGCAAATAGTCGACTTTATTTTATTATTATTATTTTTTTATTTTTAATGTTTTTGATAAGAGTAAATAATCTAACTTGTTTTATTGGTTCACCTATATTAATACAATGTGATTAGACATTTGTATATTCTACTTACGCCGACTTCATGCTCGGCAAAAGCACATATAGATTTGTGCATTTGCATGGTAATGGATACTTCTAGACTTTGCTGATTTTTACTAAACTATAAAAGTCTATCCGCAAAAGTTTTATTTCAGAAGTGCGTAACGCAGCCTAAACTTCACAATAAAGCTTAGAAGTAATGCCAAGTACGTATAAAAAATCTAGGGTCCGGACAGAGCTTACATAATGTATTTTGGATTTGATTATAGTTGAGGGGACTTGGTTGTCTTTGCAGAGAGGAAAGACCAAAGGAGTGTATATGTGTGGGTTGGTGGGGGACTTGAAGATGGATAGGCTTTGCATTTGCGGTGATTTTTAAATGGTAGCAAATGCAGTGTACCTTGTCTTGTGGTCCGTGTGCTTGTCCAGCTCAATTTCGTCTGGCATTGCAATTACGCGGTTTGGTGCCATCTATTCATTTGTCCCTTCCTTTTCATGCACAAATATCGTTTCTCTTGCTTTCCCCTTTCGTCGCAAACCGACTCAAGGGCACTTCTTTTCCTGTTTTGGAAGGATGAGTTATGAGTTTTAAGCAAACTTCTTGACGTCCTTTCTCTCTAGAATTTATGGTGCTCACAGGGACACACACTCCAAAATAGGGATGAGCTTTTCCGTCCTGTCCACAGGGACCACATCACGCTCCATATAATGAGGTAGCTTAGACTGCCCACTACGTACCCTAAATTATTCATTGAGTTTGCTTTACTAAATGTAATCCTAGGATGCCAATTAACTAGTACTCGAGTGATGATTTCCGAGTCTGTGAGTCAAGCCACTAAATGGGCTGCCTAGGGAAGTAGAAGATAAATTACCATGCGATGGTAGCCACTAATAAGAGATGGCGGTAAAAGCAATTTGTACCCTTTTCGAAAAAGGGCATGGGATACCCTCATTCTATCAAGAGGGTGATAGCCGAGATAGAAACATACAAAAATTACTGGCTTATAATGTTTTTTTTAGTATTTATGATCAAGGTATCTTTAAATTTATTTTTTTATATCTCAAAATTAATTTTTTAAAATAATGTTAAATGTGCATTTTTTACATTAAATTACTACATTTAAGGATATTAATTTCTTTAAGTACTATCTAAAAACTAAATTAGAATGTTTGGTGTCATGTAATAATATCAAACAAGTAATAAAGTAATTAACCTTTTTTTATTAGGGGGAGACACATGAAATCTTCTTGTTTAATGTGTAAAATATTAGCATAAGAAAAACATGGTAAAAAATAAAAGAAAAGAGATATTAACTAAGTAGCCTTTTGCGGAGGTAATGCTGCATGTCTCAAATTTTGTGCTTTATTTAGTAATATTGCGTAATGAAAAAAATGATCAAATCCTAAACAAATAGAAGTACTCAACTCATACTGCATTACAAATTCCAACAATATATAGTCTCCACGTGAATACTTAAAAACCAAATCGTGGGTGATTCTGTAACTTTGCTCCACAAAAACGGCTATAAATTGCCCTCCTGTATCTCACTTTCTTACACCATCTGTCTCTTCTACCTTCAGCTGATACCACCACCGATATGGCATGTCGCTCAGCAACTCTTCTCCTGCTAGCTTTGTTGCTCTTCTACATAGCCCAGGTAGCTAGAAACCTTGTTCTTCTCCCAGGAATACCTTGATTTGGTCATTTTCTTGAGAAACGATTGTTAACATCTACATGCATGATGTGTTTTAGGCCTCATCCGATGCCAGGATTGAAGAACAAGATACCCATATGGAGGTGGTGAAAGGTCCCAACAGAAGGCTGCTGCCTTTCGTCGGTATAGAGCATTTCTAGTTTTGTCAATCTTTTTAAGTCTAGTTTCATTCATTGTTAAGTGGAAAAAAGGGATTTCTGTACTTTCTAACTGTAGTCAATTGATTCTGGATTAGATGCTTCCATGTGCCATGGGGGTTTAGATTTATTTGTGTCCTATTGTTATTAGGTCCCTTTGGATATACGCTACAAGGTTCTTGTAAAACTTTCTTTTTGGTGTAGATTGTGGACGGTTATGCAAGGTGAGATGCAGCTTGCACTCGAGGCCAAATGTCTGCACCAGAGCATGTGGGACCTGCTGCGCCAGGTGCAACTGTGTTCCTCCGGGCACCTCAGGGAACAGAGAGGTGTGTGGAAGATGCTATACTGATATGAAAACCCATGGAAACAAGCCCAAGTGCCCTTGATTCCCATCTTTTTTCAAGACAAATCGTAATTAAGTTGTATGTCCTGTTCCTGTGTGTTTCAATGTTCTGTTGGGTTTTTAATCCTACCATGTTGTTGTATCTATTACGGTTGAAATGTAGTTCCAAAGACGCTCAGTTTTCCATGTGCAATCTCATCAATTCCTTTGCAGAGTGAGTAGTTGGACAATCTTAAATAGAGTATAATTGAACAATTCTCTATAGCCAATTTGGCATTCTGCCAACCAATGTGTGGGGGAATTATAAATGAGATATATTATGATTGTGAATTTTTTTTATCAACATATTATAATTGTGAATGATATATATAGATTGCATATGAAAATTGCATAGACTATAGTGTTAGAATTTGGATATTGACTAAGTTAAAAAAAGTTGCATTTTGAGAATTAGGATGAACATCTCACTTGCCACTTTGCCAGTTTTAACACTTTTGATCAACTACTCCCATCCTTTTGCTTATTTTCTAGTGAATAATTAAACATAAAATTTTATTAATGATCTATTAATTTGAATAAAATAAATTTATTTATTTTTAAACAAAATTTTAAATTTAAAACTCATTAATAACATCTCACTTGCCACTTTGCCAGTTTTAACAC